ATTTGAGCATTTTCCCTTGGGTTACATGTCTAAAACCAAAGTACAGTTTTAGCAATTGGAGTAACGTACTGGGAAATCCCAGAGCTTGCTGATGAATACAGTAGGTTGTCTGAAAGAGGACCAGAGCAGTTCAATTTGAAAAGTTTAAGACCGTCATTGTCAGCATGACTTTTCTCTGTCACACAGAAGACCAACTAAATGCATATGGAATAAAAGAGTGAGTCTAAAAAGGGGATATTTTCTGTCCCAACTGCTGAATGAACCTCAATTTTATTGGAACCATGGGAGATTTATCGGGGCGATTTAACAGCGAATTAAATCTTCGTCAGAAATACTCAAAATTAAGTAGGTACCCACCCAAATTTTCAAAACTTCCACACAGTGTATGAACACATTTTCTTCTTTAGAAAGACCACTTGCTTTTACTCTCTCCTTTCCACTCACATCTGGTCTGCAGTCGGCCCTTGGAGCACTTCCTCTATTTTCATGATAACAGAATACAGTGAAATCTTTACTGTATAGATGCTTCATTAATCTATATATATATTTAATTATATTTCTTTTAATCCATTATTCTAGCTACTTTTTTCTAAATCAGTAAGTTGTACTTGGTTTGCTAAATAAATTAGATATATTGCACCTGACTGTGACTGTTCTATTCATCTCTAATTTCAAGTTGCATGAAAATAAAAATAAATAAAATTAAAAGAAGACTCTGTTGGTATCTTTAAAGAATACAGTTGTAGATTAATTTCACACTTGCATATTTCAGATTTCTAAATGCTGTTTATTAAACCTGAATGGCTGTTCTATTTGTGAGTACTTCTTGTAACAATACCTTATTTTTTTCTTATATGCAGTCTTGGTAAACTGCTGATTCAGCTGTTAGATCAACAGGGCATTCGAAGAGGCTGATCAAATCATAGGTATCCCACCATCTCTCTGATTATTAGCCAGAAAATAATCCTTCTGTTTCCTTTTCTTACTTAGAGAAACTCCTGATCCGCCTTCCTCGATTGTCTGCTCCTCCTCCCATATCCACATTTTCCTGTCCAGCCTTGTTAACATGTCTGCAGCTCAGTCTCTGAAAACATTGATATAATAAACAAATTATTTACTTAACTCCACTCAATGGTCGCCCTCTCTAAAAGTTATAAACATAATGACTGTACAGTGATCTTTCCACTTACATTTTCTTGTCTGTTCACCAAATTCCTGCTGAAGCCCTGTGAGGTGAATTGGGAAACAACACTTGGATGTGGAATAACTTTAGGACATAATAAAGACATTTTTGTCTGAGTACTTTATATGAGTAATAAAAGTTCAGGAGGAAAAGTATTTGGAGATTACAGATTGAATCTTTTTTTCTTCTTCTTCTTTTTTTATTTATATTCTTCTTTTATTTATAGAAATGACTGTAATCACCATAGATTTTTTATAACAGACAACATAAAGATAAAAACAAGTTTTTGGAATAACTGCCAATAAGCTAAAGGACTTACGTTATCTTTTTGTGGAAAAATGTTGCTGTACTTTTTTTCACAGGAATGATTCCGTCTAGTTATGTTGGAAAGCTTTTGAGCTGAAGGTCCAGGTCCTGAAGTAGAACGTGAACTTTACACCGTCGCACTATCATGTGTGAGTATCTCTATGTGCTTTTTCTGAAATCCTCAGCTATCTGTCTTACGTGTTACATGTCTCACACAATACAAAACAATAAACTTTTGTCTCAATAGTTCACACATCATCATTCCAAAGGTCTTTGGGACCACATGTGTTTGGCGAGTGTGAGAAAATCGTATTTATTTTTCTTTCTTTTGGTCAGCAGGGGTTTTGACCCTTGACTCTTTTCTAAAGAACATTTAGTCCAAGCACTTCGTCCTGAATCATGTACCTTAATGTTAGGCAAGTGAGGTCTAAAATGCTTTAGAGCAGAGGTCTTCAACAGGGGGTCTGCGACCCCTAGGGTGTCCAAGAGGTACTCCGTGGGGGTCGAAAAAAGTTTTGGTTGATAGCCGTTTTAATTTTTTTTATATTCCCCCCTGTAATTTTTTTTCCACAAGATGAAATGTCTTTAAATACACATTACCATGAATTCAACACACTGTAGCAAACAGATAAATGGAGGCAGAAGATGTATTTCAATCATCAATGCACACATTCAGTGACACAGAGGAGCTCTTTCAAGCTGGGCTTCATTCACAACACCTGTCCCATCAACGAGGAATAAGAATCAGAATTACTTTAATAATCCCAGGGTGAAATTACTTTTGTTACATTACTCCATATGTAATAGAGTGAAAATATAACCAGTTTGATGTAACACAATTTCATACAATATATATAATTAGGGGGTCCCTGTTCCATCTCGCCATCATTTTGGGGTTCTTGGCCTAGAAAAAGTTGAACACACCTGCTTTAGAGTGTTCTGTATTATTTTTTGACCTCCATAATGCAGTTTGGAGTAAACTTCAGTAGGTCACCCTTAAGTGTCAAAACAAAAGCAAAAATGGAGGGAAAAAATTAAAGGTTTGATTTCACAGCACCATCATTCTTCAGGAATAGCATGGCACCTTTTTTCCAGATGTTAGTGGGTATCAGTAGCACCAGCTGGAGATTGTCCATAAATCACACAAAATGCTTTCAGGCTTCAGTTATTGGTGTTTTATAAAAAAAAAAATGCCAAGCTATACGTATTGATGTATTAGGTTCAATTATGTGATTTATTTTGACTGAGCTAATTTTATTACACTGTATAAACAGGAATATTTTACCCTTTAAAACATGATCTATTTGCTAGCCAGAGAAGGTAAGTTTAGTTATTAAATAGCACCATCTGGTGGTTATCTTGCTATCTTGCCACTGTTTTTAAATAAATACATATACAAATACATACACAACAAAACATATTATTTAAAAGTTAGGTTCAGAGATTCAAAACAAAAAGTGAAGCTAACATCTTAGGTAAACTGATTACATAGAGTTTAGAGCATTTGTAATGTTTTTTTCTGACAATTGTAATAATTACTTCCAAAAAAATTAAATGTAACCCCCTATTTTAGTTTATCAGAAAAGGAAAATATAGCATGAAATCAATGACAAAAAAAAAAAAAAGTACATTTATGTGATAAAGCAAAATGTATATTCCAGGACAATACAGCACTAAAAATGGGGAGTATTTTGCATGAATTACTGTATCACTGCAGGGTAGCATGGAACCTGTCAGCCTATGGCTCTTCCAGCTTGCTCTGACAGTGGTCTTCCGCTCTGGACTGTTTGCACTCTTGTCTTTCATATTTCTCCTAAAAACACATGAAAGAATCTTAAAGAGTTACTCAGATGGGTTTGCTGACCAGGCATGCCTTTGTAACAATAGGAACCTTAAAATGGAGCCTAGGCGGAAGTTCAACTGAAGAAACTCCTTGCTTCTCTACATCCACCTGCGACACATCCAATCAGCTTTGAACCACACCTCCACGAAAGGGATTTGGCATCAAAAGTTCATCTTAAAAGGCCTCTGATACGCACTTGTCTGCTCCTGTGCGCAGTTGGTGGATGCGCTGTGTCTTCATTCAGATGACACCGTTTCAACCCATCTCCAGCCTCTCCTCCACCTTCGTAGCTAAAGCTTCATCAGAGTGTCATTCCTCCCGGACTCTTACTGCTTTCCCTGTCTCATCTTAACTGGTCCGGCAGAAGACCGCCATGTTGAGCCTGGTCCTGCCAGAGGTTTCTTCCCAAAGGGGGGTTTTTCCTCTCCACTGTTGCTTCATGCTTGCTCATCATGGACAGGTTCTCTCAACCTGTGTTATCCAAACTGGACTCCCATCTTCCAGGTCCCTGAGTGAAGCTCTAGTATCAGCTCACACAGTCCTCTGGATCTCCCAATAAAGCTCAGCATATCGTCTCACTAACCAGCAGTCTACAGACTGACCAACTCCATCTATCTCCACTCCAACCAGCAGTCTACAGACTGACCAACTCCATCTATCTCCACTCCACCACCAGGTTCAGGCTTGGAGGAAACAGCCCTATTCTTTGCTCCTGTTCATGCATATCTAACAAAATTAAACGCTATGTTTCCTGCCGAGGTCTGAGCACGAAAGACAAAGTAATTGTATCAATACATTTCTCCCAATTGTCTTTTCTCTTCGTTTGAGTTTTTCTGATTGGGTTAGGGTTCCAAAATGTCTGTTGGAAAATGCTGCAATGCACTGCGACCAGATGGCCGCCGGCTCAAACCCCAGCTCAGTGGTTGTGGCCTTTGGACAAGACGTTTCACCTGCATTGCCTACTGATCTAGTCAGCGGTCCTGGAGGTGCCTGCATATGGAAAAGCTACACAGGCTTTTAAAAACATCAGGCTTTTGAGTGGCTTAAGGAAATGGGTTAATGTAGCACGCCCCCATGAATGATTGGATTAGTTGGAATCCCCTGACTTGGAAAGGTGTTATATCATTGAAGTGAATTTACAATAAAGTGTTATACTCTGTTTGTTTTGAATCTATAAATTATGAGTATATTTTTTGCACTGAAATACGTAAATATGTTACATTTTTATCAAATTCTTATTCTAAATGCAAGTCTGCTAATTTTAAAATGTTGATTTAAGAGTAAATTTGGCAATCCTTAAAATCTTTATAAAAGCTCTTTAATATGCTGCACCGTCCCACACTGCTTGCTGCTGGCTCCTTTGCATGTAAAATACAGTTTAGGGAAGTATCTGACTTTAAAAGGTATAAATTTAGCTTTGAGGAAGCATGCCTTTGTAGCATATTTATAATGCAACAGCTTGATTATTGTAAATATACGCTTAACACATAATTTAGTTTGATGTTTTAGAAAAAGATAGTTATTTAATCATCATTATCTGATATATTTGCATGGGTGTCATATCTTCCTTCAAGACACGTAGGAGAACGTTAGACATGGCTAAATTTTTAGCTCCACCTCCCCCGATCAGTCCCATGTGACTTGGTGACAGGGTGAGGCTCTGGGTGCACTTGTTTCTGTGGGTTCGACTTCTTTATAGAACCAGGAGGCCAAGGTTTAAACGGTGGGGAAGGTTTTCTTTTCCTGAATAATGGATTACCAACAGAAACTGGCGGAAAAACTCACCATCCTCAATGAGAGGGGCAACGGGGTGCTGATACGCATGAACTACATTAAAAAGGTGAGGAATAGATGTAAGAATTAATAGGCATATGATACAAATACCAAATACCAAATACCAAAAAAAGAAATAAGGAACTAATATATTTTCTATCATTTGTTTAATAACAAGAATTATGCTTCTTCAATCAAGTTATAAAACTTGATATGTTGTTTCAGCTGTAGTTATTTGTCTCCGAATTTAACAGGATGATTGAAGATTGACGGAATGAAATGTCAGTCAATAGGTCTAAAGAATATGTTTCAGAATTCATGGCAAAAACTGCAGAGCCTTCCTTTAGAGCACTGAGTTGACACTAAGATCAGATCTAAATAAGGTGAACTGAGATAAACCTGCTCTTTTTTACTTCTTTGTGTCTGCTGGCTGTGAACTGTGGCCAGCACAGTTTCCAAACTGCAAGTGTGCTTCTTTCTCAAAAAAAAAAAGGAAGTGCAAACAGGAAGTCAGTGGTGTTTGTCATCAGAAGTTTCAGTTATTCTGAGCTGTAAGCAGTGACTCCCTGGTTTACAAAAACAAAGACAGAAAAGAGGCTGAACCAGCTAAATGGGAAATAATTAGAATGATAGATTTCTATAAGCAGAGTGTATTATTGTATATTGCTGATTTGTACAGTAAAAGCTCATGTATGAAAGTGCGGCCTTGTTGGGAAATCGCTGCAATTTTACTTACTTAGTTTTAGTTTACTTTACTGACATCTATCTAACAAACATACCAGCCCAAAAGCCAACTCCCCTTCCCCAAGAAAACAAACCCTTTTTGAGGGAAGGCCTCAGTTCAGCTTTAAGTCCATCCTGGATGAAGAAGCAATCAGCCCTATATTTAAGGTGGACCTCACCCTGTTTACTGAGGAAGATAATTTCTGCTTCTATCCAGTATTTTTGTTGTTATAATCTTTGCTGTTGTCCATGATGCATAGCTTATAAAAACAGTAGAAGAAGGGGTCTTAAACAGAGCTTTATTGGCAGCCTGCCTTTGGTTTCAGCTCTTCAACAGGCTGGAGCAAAGCTGGTATGACTGCAATCGCCCATCTGTGGTTGATTTCTATAATCAGGAATCTCTCAGTGTTTTTAGACATTTAGACCTTTCAAATTTAAGAAGCAATTGTCTATAGCAGTAGAGACCTGCTTTTATGTCAGAATTCAAAGACTAAATCTTACATTCTTCCCCAAAAACTTTAAAACTCTTTTCCATTTATTCATAATCTTGAAATTAAATCAATGTAGCTTCTTATATTTAGGTCTTGAATTGATCATTTCACCTTTAATAGATGTATATAGGATTCCTGTCCATTTCCTTGCTAATTATAGATTATTTTACTGAATTAAAAATTTATATCAATTATGAATTAACTGTTCTTCTTAACAAATACAATTCAAAAAGAGCACCGAGATCTTCTAGTCACATGCATTCCGTGCAGCTTTTGGCTAAATTAAACTGTAGAGTTGACCAACCTTTGCTGTGGCAGCTCTCAGTCTCTGGGATCGGCAGCCGCTTGATATTTATTCAGAGCCTATATAAGCTTCTCTATGCCTGTTTTTATGCACTGGCTGGCCAAAAAAAAAGTCACCACCTGGATTCAACTAAGCAAATAGGTATGAGCCTCCTATTGGATAATTACTGCATGGGTGATTATCTTTCAGCAGGATATAAGGTTTGGTTCTTTTCCCAAACTCTTGGCGTTCTGATTGGTCCAGAGTTCTTCATAGGGGATCTCCTATGAAGAACTCTGAGAAATATCAGCTGTGCTGCTGATGGCAGCAGCACAGCTGATATTTCTCTCCAGGATGGAGTCACAGCCAAACAGGAACAGACCAGATGAAGCTACTATGAAAGATAATACATTTTTTGACATTGCAGAAGCTTATCGAAACAATGGCACAGCAAATGCGTGCCATAATCAAAGCTAATAGGCGGTCCAACAAAGTATTAGAGTGAATTACCTTTTTTTTTGGTGGTGACTTTTTTTTTGGCCAGGCAGTGTATAATGTGAAACTCTTTGGTCATGGTCATCTGTTGTTAAATGTGCTATATAAATAGAATTAACATTAACATGAACAATGTACCAAGTACTTGAACTTTTGCTCTTAGGAATGAGACTGAATACCACAGAGAGGGAGAAATGCTTAAAGATACAGTAGATAATGTAACTGTAGATATAAAAGTTAAGCCATAATGGCAGTGTCCTTTACATTTTATAAAATG